CTCCCGCCCCTTAACAATAAGGACCTTGGCGGAGATGACCTTCATGCCGGCTGGAAGCCATCCGCAATGCTGGCTCCTTTTGCGCCCCCGGGTGCCTTTGACACAGCCTCCGATGACCGGGAGGCAGCATCGGCGCCGCACCCGCCCATTAGCTCTGCCCCCCTCTGGAAGCTGCACCTAACCCTAGCCTCCTTTAATGTTCTGTCTTTAGGACCGGGCAAGGAAGAAGGGCTTGCGTTTCAGCCTGCTCGTGCTGCCCTCTTGGCCAACCAACTCCACGCGAGTGGGGTTCATATAGCCATGTTGCAAGAAACCCGTCAGGACGAGGGTTGTGCGACCGTTGGACCATTCTTGCGCTATTCAGCTGGTGCCAGCCGCGGGCAATTCGGTACCGAAATATGGGTGAGGAAGGATTTCCCTTTCCTTGCCCCTGCTGAGCCAAAGAGTGCAGACGACTATGGAGCAAGGCTTAGCGCGAATTGCTTCGCTGTTTTGGAGTCTGATCCCCGAAGACTCTTTCTTCGCTTTACAAGCCCTACCGTTGATCTCCTACTCGTCTCATTGCATGCGCCGCGCAGGGCCACTGAGGCGGCCCAAATTGACACGTGGTGGGCGGCTACTTGTCGCCTACTTCAGAAATATCGCCGCGACTCCTTGGTACTCATCGGAGGCGACATGAATGCGGCGTTGGGAAGTCTGACTTCCCAACACGTCGGACCGCTTGCAGCGGATGAGCAAGATTTGTCTGGTGAACATCTCCACACACTTCTACGGGTGTCCCAGACTTTCATCCCAGCCACTTTCGACAAGTACCACCATGGGCCCACCCACACGTACGTTCATAAGAACGGCAAAATTCCTTGCCGAATGGATTACTTGGCCATTCCTTTTGAGTTCGGGAGGGATGAGGTTCAGTCGTGGTGCGAGCCAGCTATTCACGCCGCACATGCCACCCCGGACCACGTGGCAGTGTGCACATCTGTTCGTGGCTGGCTGCGTGTCAAGGCGGCTGCTCACCCACTTGGCAAAAGACAATTCTCAGTCGCCACATTATGCGACCCATGCGGACAAACGTCCGCACCACCACTATCTGTCTGAGGGCACCTGGACACTGCAGAGGCAAGCCGCACAGCTCCGCCGTCGCCTCCATCGCCTCACGGGCATGATGGTTGCCGACCTCCAGGCCACTGCCTTTCGCGCTTGGGCCAGTGGAGTTAGTTTTTCAGTTCTACGGCAGCGTGGTGACGCCTGGTCAACCAACGCTGAGGTGGTCCGAAGCGCCGCCCAGAGCGAGTTGACAGCGGTATGCAAACAACTCCGCAAGGCATGCAGGGCTGACAGAGATAGTTATGTAGCCACTCTTGCCAGTCAGATCTCCTCTGCTCCAACTAAGGAGGCTTACACGGCGTTGCACCGTCTCCTCATGCATCGCCGCAAAAAGAAGTTTCGGTTGGAACCTCTGCCGCACCTTGAACACCCTGAGGGCGGTTCGTGCCAGGATGCGCCAGCCGCCCGTGGCCAGTGGCGGCAACATTTCTCTGGCATAGAAGGGGGAACGGCTACGACTTTCCCCGCGCTCGCGGAAGCCGCAGTCGCACCCGTGGCACGGGCACAGCTGGGCCCTTCGACCATCACTGAAGCCCCGAGCATGCCTGATTTGCGCCGGATTCTAGCCGCGACAAAGGTTGCCAAGGCACCAGGTCTTGACGCTATCCCGCCAGAGCTCAACAGATTCTTCCCGACCCTCTCCGCACAGGTGCTCTACCCCCTGTTGCTGAAGGTGATGTGGAGAGGCACAGAGCCAGCGGGCTTCAAAGGCGGTCAAGCAGTTACCTTGTATAAGGGTCGCGGCAGCAAAAAAGAATGTGGTTCATTTCGGTCCATCCTCTTAATGGCCACGTGGGCTAAAGCTTTCCATCAGGCACTTCGGCCTGCCATCAAGCATGTTTACCAGTCGACTGCTCCACAGTTGCAGCTTGGTGGGAAGCAGGGCTGTAGTGTACTTTTGGGTTCCCATGTTGTCAGGTCTCTAGTAAGGGTCGCAGCTCGTAGCAAGCAGTCATGTTTCGTCCTGTATGCGGACATTTCTGCTGCATTTTACAGTGCCCTTACACAGTTAATTTCCGGCTCGCCGGACGATGTGTCCACTGTGGAGCAGGTTTCCCAGGCCCTATGTACCCTGGATTTGCCTGACGATGCCCTTGCAGCTGTCGCCAACCATATCAAGGACAGCACAGCCTTGACCGAGGCAGGGGCGTCTGCCTGGGTCGAGCAGATGGCGACTAGCATAAGCACCCAAAATTGGTTTTTGCTGGCCGGTGACGATCGTCCGGTACGTACCTCTCGAGGTACACGCCCAGGCAGTGCCTGGGCTGACGTGCTCTTTGCTGTTTTGTTGCCACGCATCCTTCGCCGGCGCACTGAGCTTGTCCTGGAGCTTCGGAGCCCCTCTTCTGTCCCAACATGTCCCTGGGACGGTCGTAAGTGCCTCGAGCCGGTTTCTGATGCCGCGGAACACCTTGAGATTGGTGATGTGATTTGGGCTGACGACATTGCGACGCCCAAATGCTGCACCGCCCCCAATCTGCTCCCGGCAGTCCGTTGCGAGGCCACTGCCATTACGGAAGCCTTTCTTGAGCATGGATTCCGATTGTCGTATGGTGCCCACAAAACTGCAGCGGTGGTTACCGCTTGTGGTGCTCAAAGCAGGCTTGCCAAACGCGCACTCTTCGGGGCAGATGGCGTGCGCGGTAGCATCCCGGTCCTCCTTGAGCATATGCCACCCACCAACCTTCCGCTGCCCCCCAACTATAAACATTTGGGCACCTTGCAGTCACCTTTCGGTCGCATGACCGATGAGCTCCGTTATCGAGTCGGCCAAGCTCGAGGAGCCTTCGCTGAAGGCCGACGGAAAGTGTTCCGTGCGAAGAGTATAGCCCTACACCGCCGTGCGGCTATCCTGATGTCGACGGTAATCTCTAAACTTGTCCAAGGTGCAGGCAGCTGGCCTCCCCTTTCCAAGCGGGAATATCGTCTTTTTTCAGGCGCACTCTGGTCTTTCTACCGCAGTGTCTTGGCCATTAAGCCGAGTGATGACCAGCGTATTTCTGCAGCTACAGTCTTTGCCATTCTGCAGTTGCCCGATGCCACGGTTACTCTGCGGGTAACCCGGTTATCGTATCTTGCACAGCTGCTGCGGGCGGGACCAGACTCCCTGTGGGCTGTAGTCAGAGCTGATGCTGACTACACGCAACAGTTGCAGAACGACTTAGACTGGTTGTACGAGTGGTGCCACAGCACCACTGACTGGCCCAACCCGCGTACACATTGGGATTTTTGGGCTGTACACATAGTTAAGCAATTTGGGCGGTTTAAGGGGCTTTGTAGGCGTGCACGTGCCCTGACCATTGCGCAGTATCGAGTCCGGGCTGCTCTCGACGGCCTATGTAAGGGCTTGCATGCTGCCGCTGGATCCCTTGCAACGCCCACTCCACCGCCTGTTGGCGACCATGCTCACACCCACATGTGCGTGCCATGCAAACGCAGTTTCCCCAGTTTGGTGTCATGGGCAGGCCATGCAGCTCGAAAGCATGGATATAGGTCCAAAGCCTTCCTGCTCCCTACTGATCACATCTGCCGGGGATGCTCTAAAGCGTTTGCTTCCCAGGGTCGCCTGCGGCGACACCTGGTGACGAGTGCTCCTTGTGTTGAGCACTGGGGCCTTTTTGCCCCGACTGCTCAGGACCTAAAGACACCTCGCCACCCCCTGGCGCCCCCGTCTGTAATCGGCGACCCTGACGCTATCCTGGGCAGTTCCCTTCCAGTTGACGATGTCTCAACCCCGCTCCTTGACGCGCTTCAGGAGCTTGAGGACTGCCCCGAGTCGGAGGTGTTTGAAGTTGTCGAGAGCTTCATCGAGCCCATTACTACTCTGCGCCGTACAGTCCAAGTGTGGAGGGACATGAGTGGGCCATCCCCGTGGCATGCTGAGGTGGCAGAAAACGTGCTGCTTCTCCTAGACCCGGATGTACTCGCCGAGTCCCGTCAGCCGGCAACCAAACGAACTCCGGCTAATGGATCTGCCATTGAGGTTTGGGATATCCCTGACCGAATCCCAAGTGTGTTAACTGGCGATCCACTTTTCAAGACGCTCGAGCCACCTCCAACGGTTACACTTCCGCCCTTCGGTCCTTGCAGTCGGACCCTGCGACAGGCCACGGCCTACTGCACGTGGTTGGAAGCGGCCACTGCCATGTGTGCCACTTGTGCTGAGGATGTCAAGTGTCGCCGAATCCGGCTTGCTTGCCCCGGACTAGCTGATGCACTCGGACCTGCTGTGGCATGGCTCGAAGCCAGTGGATTTGCCTTCGACTCCCACGGGATGTACTCGGCGTCTTGAGCAACCATGTTTCACCCGAATTCGATTCCGTTTGCTAGGCGAGCGTCAGGAGATGACACTACCGCTGCGAATGAAAATAACATCTTATACCGTTTTAGAACTATGATTAGCCGGGACGACGAGGGGGCAACTCTAGTCCCCTAAACCCTATAAACCCTAAATCTACTGGTTCTTGAGGGTTTGGGGCACTAGCCCTGCCATAAGCAATTTGCCCACTGAGCAAGCACTCCGCAAGGTTTGGGGTTTAGGGCTTAGGGCGCGGATATCCTGCTTAAGTTAACATCTTACGGGTTTGGGGTAGACTTTGGGATGGATTGAAGTTGCAGGCAACCCTACAAACTTATGCAAGCCCTGTAGGAAAGGTGTATACAGTGCAGGGGCCTTACTGCTTCGAAAAGGAAACTTGGTGTAAACTATACTACAACTGAAGTAAGGAACTCTGGGGAATACTTTACTACTACTTATCATTCAGGCTCTATTGGGTTTTGGTGTAAACTATACTAGAAATAAAGCAAGGAACTCTGGGGAGTACCATTATTACTTCTCATTCGGGCTTCTCTAGTCTCATCGCTGGGCTCCGAAATGGCTGTCGCGGATGTCTTCACTCGATGACCCCAGGAATCCTCGCAGGAGTTGGCTTCGGGAGTGGCGCGGGGGGGGGGAAGGGGCGGACCGTTCCCAAAGTCCCGCCAAAGAATCCTCACTGTGGTGGAAAAACTCATAGAAAATACGGGCTTAGGGAGTGAAGGAACTGGGCTCAGAGCTTAAGGGATCTGCGCTGGACAAGAGATATGGGAGTTTCCGAAAACTTTGGGTGCCTCATTTTGGGGTCCTTATAATAAGGATCCTACTCTTTATGGTACTATGTTGGGGCCCCCTATTTTCGGAAACTCCCATATTGGTTCCTTCAACTCAAGACTAGTGACTAGAATCGGCCTTTGGGGTCTACTATAGCATGGTTTTAGTCAGGAACCTTAGGGAACTCCAAACCCCTGATTGCACCCCTGGACCCTATAGACCCTAAACCTCTAAGCGCCTAAAACCCAAAACAAAGAAAAGCCCCAAACAGCCACATCCTTGTCTTTGACACGACAAGCACTCAGGGTTTAGGGTAGTGTAGGGCTTCGGATTTAGGGTTCGAGGCTTATAGGAGCTGGGACTTGGGGTTAAGTTTCGCCGTTTTGGAAGAGACCTCACAGGTAGAATTGTAGGCTCAACTCAAAACAAACCGAAACCCTCAAGCCCAAACCCGGGCGCGGTTATTCGGCTGAAGCCTCAACAGGGGTCAGTTGCGAGTGTCACAATAGAAGCCCCTTACAGGTAGGTAGTTCCTCTTCCATAGTACTCCCATAAGACCCCCTTTACCTCATAGGAGTGGTATGGGAGGCTTATGGGAAACTACCCACCTTATACCCAGAGACTCCAATATCCCTTAATTAAGGAATATTCCTTAAATCATATATAGGATCCTACTATAATTTAAGGTATATTCCTTAATTAAGGGGTATTGGAGTCTCTGGGTAACTACCCACCTGTAAATGTCTTAGACACAACATACGGGGAAGCCTCAGCTGGACCCATGTTACTGATAAGGAGTCCCTAAATCCCTAAACTCAGGTACGGCCCCCATACAGTAAGAATCTATAATAGGGCTACTATTAGGGTCCTACTATATCTATTATATTATGAATATTGAATCCTCATCTGGAGCCAAGTTACTGATAATCAAAGGGGAAAAGGAGGGACCCTTAGGCGCTTAGGGTTCCTTTAAAGGGATCTATAAGGGTCCCTTTAAAAGGATCTATAGGGTTTTGGGTTTAGTTTAGTCAAAGGAGAAAAGGAGGGACCCTGAATGGGGACCCCTACCCCATAATGGGGCTATATCATGGGTATATAATAGCTATTTTCAGGGTATGTACCTAGGGGTCCTTGTTAAGGGTCCCTCCTCTTACCCTTGGAGATAAGGAGTCCCTAAATCCCTAAACCTTAGAAGCTGCCCCACCCTGTAATAGTGACTTTAAGGATTATATTAGGGCCCTATTCTATTCCTATTCTACCACATTACAGGGTGGGGGCCCCTTGTAACCTAAACCCTCAACCGATAATAAAGCGAAAACCCAGTGACCCCTCAAAAGAGCTTTCTACTGCTCGACAACTCTGCGACTCTACAAAACCCAAGCAAGGCTTTCGGGGCAAAACCCCAAAGCCCGAATATAGGGGCCTTAATAATTAGAATAGGGTGTTGGGGCCCATTATATACTATAAGAACAATAATGAGCCCCCAAAATAGTATATGTAAATATTACAGCCCGTGTAGTACCCTAAACCCTAAACCCTACACCGAATCCTAAACCCCCAACAAAGAACCGCAATTCTGGCGGAGGTCATTGCATCCACCATGACGTGCGTCATGGCATCGAGAGCATCGTGAGGCCCAGCCTGCCACCAAAGGTTTCGGGGTTCCTTCCCTCAAAGGGGAAAGGGAGGGACCCTTAATGGGGACCCCTACCCTATAATGGGCTATATAATGGGTATATAATGGCTATATATTAAGGGTATATACCTACAGGGGTCCTTATTAAGGGTCCCGCCTTTTACCCTTGGAACCCCAGGTTTTGGGGTTCCTTCCCCTAAGGCTCCATGTACCCATATAGGGTTCCTTTAAGGGCTCCTATACGGGTTCTATAAGGGTACCATAAGGGTCTGGGGTTTAGGGTTTAAGGCTCCATTTATCCTTTTAGCATAAAAGGGGCTCCTGCATAGGTAAATTGAAGCCTACATGTACACTATATGGCTACATGGAGCCTTAGGGTTCGCAGGGTTATACAACTACAAGGTGGACTATCAGGGTTCAGCATTGGGGCCTTAACAGAGTTCTTTCAGTTCCGCTAAGGATGTCGACGGGGATCTCCTCTACTTCTTTTTCGCTGTGTGGTCCGTTGCTTACTCTCTCTCCTTCTGTGTCTCAAACTCTTAAAAAGAGTGCCTTCACAAATTCTAGGACTTTGTAAGCCGTGTTTTGGAGGGGAGCATTGGCTTCGAGGGCTTCGGGAAGCTCAGGGCTCTGTGCCTTTCTGTGAGCCCTCTGCTTTCTCTTTTGCTTTCCCTACTATTTGCTTAAGAAACACCAAAAAATAAAAACAAATAAAAAATAATAATCCTTACATTACCACCATAAGGCATATATTTTTATTTTTGGGTGGTTCTTAAGCAAATAGTAGTTCCTTGGGCCCTAAAGCAGTCCCGAAACTGCTGATTTAGGGCCGAAGTGCATGTCATATGAGCACCTGCACCCTGAGGGGAGGCTTTATATTTAGGGTATAAGGCTCATGTTGAGGGCTCAGGGCTTAAGGGGTTTGACTACAGACGTGTGTATATGGGCACAGAGATAGACACAGAGACACGCATGATGTGCATATGTGTATGTTGATGTATTCAGGTGTGCATGTATGTATGCATGTACGTATGTGTGCAGCTGTATGAATACATGTATGCATGTATGCATGTATGGATGTATGTGTGCATGCATGCATGCATGTATGCATGTGTGTATATGTGTGCACGTGTGTATGCAAGTATTTGTACGCACATATGCACACGTCGATTGACTCATTGCTTTTGCGTTTGTTAGCTGACAAACTACAGCATGTGTTTACATGTGAATATGTAATTGTCAGAGTCTGCACGCATGCTTTTCAAACAGCAGTGTATGGCACTCTGTAAGCAGATGCCCTTCAAAAGAACCCCCCGAGCCGAGAAGCAATGCAGACCACCCAGCAATCACAAACCGACACAAACCGAATTACAAAAACGGTAAAATACGGCTTTCTGATTTCAAGTAGTAGGCATTTCCGAATTACAAAAACTGTATAATACGGCCTGTGATCTCCAATAGTGGCTTTTAGGGTCTGATGGGGGGGGGGGGGGCAGATGGAAGGTCCAATCTCGCTCAACCCTAGACTTTCACTAATTTCAATTCGGAAAAGGAGGGACCCTTGATGGGGACCCCTACCCTATAATGGGCTATATAATGGGTATATAATAGCTATATTAAGGGTATATACCTAGGGGTCCTTACTAGGGGTGATAATTCCCTAAACCCCTCAACCCTAAACCCTTCAACCCTCAACCCTTAAACCCTAAACTTTCACTCGATAAACCCCTAAACCCCGGAAGCCTAAGTAAACCTCTACCTGAAGCTACCATAACCGACATTTTCGTAGGTTCCTACTATAAAACCCCAACATGGCATTTTATAGGGACCCTACTTCTTTCTAGGTTTGGGTAGGTTAAGGTAGACTCTCCACCTAGACCCAAGAGTAACCTGGGAATAAACAGGGTGCCCTTTTTGGCTTAAAGGGGGTTTATAAGGGAATCTAAACCCTAAACAGGGAATAAGGGCCTACTCTGGGTCCTAGTAAGGTAGACCCTCAACCCTAAGCCCTAAGCCTTAAACCCTAAGCCCTAAGCCCTCAACCCTAAGCCCTAAACCCTAAGCCTCAAACCCTAAGGTAGACCCTCAACCCAACCGACGCCTGACCGTGCAGGTCGAAAAGGAACCGGCTAAGCAACCCCACATTCCGGTCCAGGAGCCTTGGCTGCTTTTAGGGTTTAGGGCTTAGGATTTAGGGCTTAGGGTTTAAGGCTTCGGGTTTAGGGCTTAGGGTTTAGGGTTGGTGTAGGGCTTAGAGTTTAGGGTGTAGGGGGTGTTAGGGTTTAGGGCTTAGGGTTTAAGGCTTAGGGTTTGGGGCTTAAGGTTCAGGGGGTGTTAGGGTTTAGGGCTTTGGGTTTAGGGTTGAGGGTTTAGCGTGTAGAGGTTAAGGGTGTAAGATCTGTGGGCTCAGGGATTCCTTTAAGGGCTCCTGTAAGGGATCTACAATGGGGTTCAGGGTGTAAGGTCATAGGATTTAGTGGCTATACAATATACAAGGGTTCCTTTAAGTGTTTCTAGATGTGGTCCTGAACGGAAGGGTTCTGCCTATGTGGGGTTTATGCGTTCTTTTGAGAACCCTGGTGTTCCTCACGAAAGCGCAGGGGATCTGAAACCGTTGTAGAAGGGTTGGTAAACGGATAGTTAAACGAATATACGCAACTAAGCGCGAGATGCAAAAAACAACTCGAAGTCTTGGAGTCTGTGGGCTTGTTAGGGTTTAGGGTTTAGGGTTTAGGGTTTAGGGTCTAGGGTTTAGGGTTTAGGGTTTAGGGTTTAGGGTTTCGGGTGGGGTCTTCGGATGTCCGATTTCGTGCTTGGAGATCAGTGTTATTGGTCCGGTAGACTAGAGGCATTTACAAGTATGTAAAGCAGGGTAATGGGGTATTAGATCAGGGAATTTGAAGGAATTTGTATGGGGAAGTGTTCCGGACCCCTACATTCTGTAGTTGGCTGAGGTGTCTGCCTGTACTGATCTGGAACCACAAGAGAATATGAAAGACGTACTGAGCCGAGAATAAGTGCTCTCAACGATATCCCAAACCAAAACCCTAAACCCTCTACCATCCCAAAACCCTAAACCCCTAAACCCTATAGATCCCTTTATAAGGAACCCTATAGATCCCTTTAAGGAGCCCTTTAAGGAACCCCAAAACCCTAAACCCCAAAATTAGGTCCCCAGTACTTAGAGGATCATGGGACTTAGTAAGTAAGGTTATAAGTACCTCAATTGGGGTTATAAGTACAGTTACCCCAATTATAACCCTAGTTACTAAGTCCCATGATCCTTTAAGTAGGTCCCCAGTATGAGGTCCTCAAGAAACCCAGAACCCAAAGGCCCCTTCAAGGCCCAGAAGCAGCTGGCGGACCGACTCATTGAATGAGTCCTTTTGGGGGCTGAAGGTTTACTAGGTGGGGCTTTTAAAGCCTTTGAAAAATATTAGTAAATAAGATCCTCTTCAGCCCAATAAGGGAAAATATAAAATGTCCCAAAGCTCTACCTAGTTTAGGGTTTGGAGGGGTTTAGGGGTTGAGGGCTTTGGGTTCAGCGGCTTAGGGCTTAGGGGTTCAGGGCTTCGAAGAGTTTAGGGCCGGGTTTATGTAGGGTGCTTGAAAGGCTTCGAGGGGTTTAAAATCGACTGATGCTTTCGTTAAAAAAAGTTACGTGGCAATCTGGGTTATTTATGGTGTCATTTCAGGGAGCAGGTGTTAGGTTTACAGTAAGCCCCATAAAGCGATAAACCGGATTAAGGCCAAATAGTGCTGGGATTCCCTATCCATCACTCTTAAGGAGTGAGGCTATGGGGCTTCCAACCTTTGGGTTTTCACTGTAGGGTTGTAGAGCTGGGGATTTAAGATTCAGATTGAGAGTTGGAGTTCTGGTATGAGTCGGGAAATGCTCCCCTTCCACGCAAAGCCAGGGCTTCCCTTCTGATTTCGGGGTTTCGGGAGTTGCACGTAGCTGGGAGCTACAGTACAAAATGTTTGGGGGATGTAATTAATCGGCAAAAAAAGGGCCCTAAAAACAGTAGCGGCCCAAAAGCTGGAAACCCAATAGCCTCAATCCTAAAGAGTAGTACTGCATAGGGAATCCCAGCACTAATTGTCCTTAACCCGGTTTCCTACTTTTTGGGGTTTACTGTAAAAGACTGTATACCTAAGTCAGGGATCCTGAATTCATGAAACAACCAGCTGAATGATCAGCCGACCCCTCGGAAGTATACGCGCTCTAGCAGGGACCGGGCTGCAGATTAACATTGCTGCCGGGACTTGGATAACTAGACCTAAGAGTAACCTATGAATAAAAAGGGTGCCCTTTTTGGCTTAAAGGGGGTTTATAAGGGAATCTAAACCCTAAAAAGGGAATAAGGGCCTACTCCAGGTCCTAGTGGATAATCACGACCTGCTAATATCTGCCAGAGGTATCGCGCAACAGTACCTAGGACTCTTTGGGGTTACGCATGGCAACGTGGATGACCCGGAGCCCTCTAGCCTGAAACCTTCGCCCAGGCCCCCTAAACCCTTAACCTTAAGGTTTAGGGTTCAGGGTTTAGGGTTAAACCCTAAACCCTGAACCCTGAGCCCTAAACCGTTTCTGGTCCTTGTCGTCTATCTTCTCCAGAACTCGATCTTTGTCTTCAGGTACAGAGGCCTGCCTGGGTAGCTAACTTTTGCTTAGTTGCTGAATTCATAAGCCCCCAAAATGTGCACACTTTCAATTTGATAGTGGGTAATATTATCCCAAAAAGTGAAAGTGTATCCACTCAGCTACTAATGAGGTTGCTTGCAGGTGCTATTCGCATGTCTCTTGGTAGCAGAAGTAGAAGAAGTAGCCAGTAGTTGTGGCCATAGTAGCAGAAGCAGCAGCAGTAGCAGTTGTAGTAGCCCAAGCAGCAGCAACAGCAGCAGAAGCAGAAGCAGCAGCATAAGTGGCAGCAGGAGGATGGTAATGACATGATGCCAACGATGGTGCTCAGTCATGCTGTTTGCGGAGCAAAACAGAACAGCCTCGGGAAGCATGGTGTGTTTTGATTGATCAGGTGCTGGAACAGACTACTGCCTTCTAGTGGTCTCCACCTCTGTAGACTGTTTGGATTTTTTTTAAGTTTCAGGGTTTCGGGCTTTAGTGTTGTTGGGTTTGGTGGGCGGGCATTCGGGCTTTACATTTAGGGTTTGGGCTTCGGGATAAGGCTTCAGGACTTCAGAGGATTAGTCCTAGCTGCCAGAGCTAGGAATTGTTGAGCCCTAAACCCTAAACCCTATCCCAGGGTTACCCTAAAGTGGGTTCAGGACTTTAGGATTCATGGCTCAGAGCCACAACCGTGCCCAGGGATCAACTCGCTATCCAAAAGAAATCGTCAAAAACGATCTCTGCAGAACAGCAATAAAGTTTCGTGGCCTTAAACTCGCTTACATGGGAAAGTGCCGAGACTGTCCCCCCATGAAAAGCAATGCAGCATCCGTATGTACAGCGGGAAGGGGGCTTAGGTTGTTTACTTTCCGTGGGCGCCTTTTGCCATCGCCCAGCTAAAGTCGGTTCGAACCCACTTCGTGGGCGGGGCCTAGGCTTTAGGGCAGTCAGAAGTTCATGGATAAACTCTTGGAGAGTATGGTATGCAGTCAGAATCTCAAGGAAATGGTGAACTCTCAAACTTAAACATTGAACCCTGAATCCTGAGGCCTAAACGCTGAGGCCCTATGCCCGAAAGCATTGACCCCTCCCTCAACCCGAAACCCTGAACCCGAAAACCATAAATCCTCACCCTGGACCACCCTCCGGCTGCCATGTACTCACATACCTATAAGGAGCCCCTTTGAAATTTAAGGCGTAGGTATATACTTTAGAAGTACGTGGAACCTTTGCGAGAACCTCTCCGGTTGCCATGGTGCGCGTCGCGAACGTCCAGCTTCTCGATTTTGTGGAGATTCCTTGCTTCCGAGCTTCAAGGGTGGGTCGGGAATGAAACATAACCCAGCGCATAGTGCTTTCAAGGATATCCTAAGCCCTAAACCAACCCTAAACCCTATTTGAGGAAACCACAACAAGATGCCCTGCAAAGATAGGACTTCAGTCTGGATTCTGGATCGAAATACAAGCCAGGTGCTTCTCTAATTTACCGGGGAAACACGGGGATGCCCTTGGTCACGAAGAGAACTCCCTAAAACCCTGAAAAGCCCTATAACCCCTGAACTCGACACCCTACACTCTAAACCCCCAAAGGATACCCCAGCATCCAGCATCATAAGTAGGCCGCCAGGCTCCTGCTGGGCCGCCCATAAGATGGGGTAGCGGAGGTCACTCCACACCTCATCCACGCCGTGCTCCACTACCCAAAGGGTCCACATTATGGTCTATACTTATAGGGTATTTTGGGGGTCTAAGTATATACCATAATGATACCTGGACCCTTTGGGCTATATGTGGGCATACGTCAAGAACGGAGCCTGCTAAATCGTAGTTGCCAGTTTGTAGGTCCTGCCGCAGCGCCCATGGGCGGACAGAGAAATAGAGGAGTCGCGTACCACGGCAACTCGTCCATCAGACTCAATGGCGGTGATCCCCAGAGAATGTAACCGATGATGAACGCGTAGTGCCAAAATGTAATCATCGCCAGCTTCGGACCACGCAATGTGGGAGGCAAACAGTGCCCAACTCCTAACAACACGCGAGAACCGAAGCCCTCACCCCCTAAGGCTCCATGTACCCTTGTAGTATACACTTGGGCCTTAAAGTACCTATATAGGGACCCCTTTAAGGCTTAAGTATCTACTATAAAGGTACATGGAGCCTTTGGGACCTCTAAACCCGAGACCCCACATCGCGAGACCCTTACCTGGACCCTAAAGAACCTACCTTTTTAGGGCTCCGTATTCTGGTTTCTGTATATAAGCCCTTATAAAGGTAATTAGGTTTTTCAGGGTCTAAAGAACCTTCCTTTCTTTATTATGACTTCCCTATATAGCTCCGTGAAAAGGTAGACTCTTAGGGGTTCAGGTAAGCTTACGAATACCCCTCAGTTTAGAGTCCAGCCCCTACTTAAAACTCAAACCCAAAAACCGAAACCCTCACATAATCTTAATCCTAACCTCAAGCCCGTTTTCAAACAAATGAAAAACACAGAAAAGAATAACATCGCAAAAAGCAACAACAATAAAAACAAAAAGAACAACAACAGAAGAGAATAACATCGCAAAAAGCAACAACAACAACAATAACAAAAAATAAATAAAACAACGTAGAACGTGGGACCCTTAGCGCCCTGAAGAGCCAAGCGAGCCGAGGATCTTCTGCAGCGCATTGTCGGAATGGACCTGCCGTGGTCCAGGGTTTAATGTAGGAACGTGATTAAGAAACCTTGGGCCTTTACCCTAAGGCTCCATGTACCCATATAGTATATACTTAGGCCCAAAAGTACCTATATAGGGACCACTTTAAGGCCTAAGTATCTACTCTAGAGGTACATGAGCCTTTGGGTTGTTAGGGTCCCTTATATGAATCTTAATATGTTGGGGCAAAAGGCCAGGGATTCGTCAATCAGGCTCCTACATTGGGGTTCTTGTGTTGAAGTAGGGCTGCACTCCCCTTCCGTTTGCCCTTACCCCGAGGGTCCAAGTACCTTAATAATCATATACTCTCCAAAATCCTAACCTACATAACTACTATCCTAAAACCGAGTACCTGATTATTGGGTCCTTTGGACCCTTGGGGTTAGGGTTCAGGGTTTTTAGGGTTCAGGATTTAGGGTTTGGGGTGTAGGGGTTGTCAGGGACCTGGCCCCGATCCCAGAGCCTCCAAAACCTCTTAATTAAGGAATATACCTTAAACTACTATACTTTAAGGTATATTCCTTAATTAAGGGGTTTTGGAGGCTCTGGGATGGGGATTCTCATTGTCGGTAACAGTTTTCCTCAAAGGATGCTAGGCACGAAGTGGCTATTGCATTGTTTGTGGCATTGGTATTAAGTTTAGGGCTCAGGGTTCAGGAGTTGGGGTTCGAGGTTCGTTGAGAACACCTCATAAACCCGACCTGACAGCCACTGAGCTTCAGCCCTCAAGGAACATGAAACTGCCGCTGCCAACCCCATCACAGAATGCCATCATGGAACCAAGTTCAGAGAACCTCTGATAAAAAAACAGAGAGAGAGAGAGAGAGAGAGAGAGAGAGAGAGAGAGAGAGAGAGAGAGAGAGAGAGAGAGAGAGAGAGAGAGAGAGAGAGAGAGAGAGAGAGAGAGAGAGAGAGAGAGAGACAGAGACGGAGACAGAGACAGAGAGAGAGAGAGAGAGAGAGCAGAAGAAACGTGACAGAGACAACCGAAATCCTAAGCCCAGATGCCGAGGTGCAAGGAGGATCTGTTGCAGGTCCATCTTCCTTGCTTCTGCCAGTTCTGCAATGCACCAGATTCTGGTGAAGGCCGTAAAGTTCCTCAGCTTGGTGTACTACCGATTGTTTTGCTGCAGGGCTTCTAGGCCGTAGTAAAGAGAAAGATTCCGAGAGAGTTTGGGCAAATCATGCACTGCCTACGGCTTATGCACCACAATAATGGAATGTTCCCTGCAGTTCATTATGCTGTGAGGTTTTTCTGCTCAGTTTGGAGTTTGGATACAGGGGATCCTCGTTTAGGGTTACGGGTTCAGGGATTGGGGTTTATCATGCGCATGGTGCATATCCTTGCGAGCGTGTGGCACGACGCAGATTTGTTGGGGCTGCTGTCGCATACCATCGCTCATCGTTTTCCATACCAGAATCAGAACAGAAACACGTCCGGTGACACATGCTGACGGCTCGCAAGAACAACAGGTGACAGGAGGGAGGCAAGACAAGGAACCGGTCTTGGGTCGTAGCTGGCACGAACATGTACGGATAATGGAAAGCACAACGAGAGGTGGATGAAGAAGTAGACACAAGTTAATGACAACGTCCTACTTTTGTTGCCGTACTAGCTAGGGCAAGGTTTCGGGGCAAGTTATACTCTATCATACTTTATCTACATGTAGGGACCGTGGGTGCCATTCACCGAAAGCCCTCAGCTGTAGCGAAGGCACATGTCCACGGCTACCACCTGCGAGAAGGCAGGGACAACGACAGAGAGGTAGCCGATCATCTCCTTCGATTCGGGGCCAAAGCTCTCGAGTGCACCCCAAAGCACAGCCCTACTCCCTAAACCCCTAAACCCCCCCCCCCCCGAAACCCTGAACGCCTTGAACCCTAAACCCCTTAACCCTGAACCCTAATTCCTAAAACCCTGGTTCTAAACCCTAGCCAGCACCCTTCACCCCGAGGGTCCCAGTACCTAATAATCATATACTCTCCAAAATCCTCACCTACATAACTACTATCCTAAAACCGAGTACCTAATTCTTGGGTCCCTGGACCCTTGGGGCTATACAAAACCCATAATAACCCTTATAGTAATCCTTATAGACCCCCCTTAAAGGGACCCTATTTTTCCGAAGAAGTACCTAATTATTGGGTCCTTTGGACCCTTGGGGTCAGGGCTCAGCCCGAACCCTAACCTAAACAATACGTCTGGGATTCCCCGATGTCCCGAAGGGTCCACGTACTCATATAGTATATACATTGGCCTTAATGTAGTCCCTATATAGGTACTTTGGGGCTCATGTATCTCTATATGGGTACATGGACCCTTAGGGTGTGATGCGCAGAATTTCTGGTCGACGCAAACTGAGCCCCAAAACCCGCTTTCACTATCAAGAAGGTCAAATCAATCCGGCTGGAGAATCATTGTAAAGCCTACATGATATGAACATCGATATTATACCAGAAAAGAGTTCGATATACATATACGGCGGGGCCCATGAACAAAGCAGCGGTGTTCGAGAAAGGCGTGCTTCCCAGGGCAGGTGAACCAACATAACACGATAAACAAATGCAACAAGAACACCTGTGTAAACCATTACGCAACAATAAAAACACACTAAACCCTGAACCACCCCGAGCATTGAACAAACCAACAATCCACAGCTGACCAAGGCACCCTAAAACCTACCTTAAACTACCAAACCCTACTTTTTTGTAGGTTCTTGTCATAAATGGACTTTATAGGGACCCTACAAAAAGGTATGTTTTGGTAGCTTAAGGTAAACCCTAAACCCGAACAGCTGACCAAGGCGCGTCGAACTTGTCCATCTCACAGTTCGGCCCACTCCAGTGCTTCGGCACCCCGCAGGTGCAGGGGTAGAAGGGCATCTGGGTGGGACTTGGTGTTTTGGGGGCTTCGGGTTCAGGGTTTAGGTTTGGGGCTCAGGGTTCAGGGTTTAGGCTTCAGGGTGGTGCGGATGGACGGGCATCTGGGTGGGATTCGGGAGTTTCCGCAGATAGGAGACCCCAATAGAGTACCGTACCCTAAATAGTAGGATCCTCATTACAAGGACCCCAAAACGAGGTACCCCTAATTTTCGGAAACTCCAGTTTGGGGTTTGGGGCTTAGGGTTCAGGGTTTTGGGTTTAGGCTTTAGGTTGGTGTTGGGAGTATGTTAGGTAAAGGTTGGTAAGCTTGAAGAAAGGCTTCAGAAGAGTATTCTGCAAAACTTATCAGGAATCGGAGTTCTGTAACTTTAGGCGTTCACAAAGATTTTGTATGGACTTCGTAAGAGATCTTGTGCAGGTTTCGCGGTCTATGCTTTCTGTTCAGGGTTTGGGTGTCGTACTTCGGGCTGTGCACGTGAAGTCCAGCGAAGCAGTGCTTCTTTCGTGTACGGGTCTTGCGGCAGAGTGTGTTCCATGCATCAAGGGGTGATACAACTTAATATGGTCTTTTTTTTTTTTTTTCTTATAATATGAGTCCTCAAAGCCTTCGCGAAGAGAAGTCCTTCCGCCCTTCCTGCAAGAAGCTCTTGCCTACGACGTCTTACGACCAACTTGTCGGCTACAAATGCTTTAAGGGTGCTATAATTCAAACTTTATGTAAGGTTATAAATGATTCTTTAAGGGTGGTATAAGGCTTGACAAGGTTCTCCAAGGCCCTCGGCAGACCCCTTTACATGCGCTTCGTCAGGGTGCCCAAATAAATTAAAGCTCTAGGGATTAGGGTTTAGGGTTTTAGGGTTAGGGTTTAGGGTTCGAGGGTACTGCCAGGATGCGGGAGGTGGCCTGGACGCAGCATGCAGCAAGGCGCAGTGCAGACCCTACAGTATGAATCGAACCTATGCCTCAAGCGCTGCAATCCACAACCAGGAAGGAAACCAAACCCGTTATACAGTTTTAATGCAAAGACTTCCTTGAGTCCAAAAGCTCCAGAAAATAATGGGCCCTCTTGGATACTTTTTCCGCGGACATAGATATGGCAGTTCCACCTACAGTAAACTCCATAACGTTGAAAACCGGATTAAGGCCAGGATTCTCTATACATTACTCTTAAGGATTGAGGCTATTGGGTTTCCAACTTTGGGGCTTCTACTGTAAGTTAAGGAAGCTCCTGACTCAGCGCCGAAGGCACCCCCATCGAGTCCGTCGGAGGCGGCGTATCGCAGATGCTCGCATGCTGGTTGACACCTGAGCAACCCAACGGCTCCATGTACCTTTAGAGTAGATTACCAGGGTTCCTTTACGGGTTCCTTTAAGGGGTTCTATAAGGGTTCTATAGGGTTCAGGGTTAAAGGGTCCATGGCACCTTTATAGTAGATACTTAAGCCTTCAATGTCAAGGTGGTGGTAGTAGCGAAAACAAACCCAATTTCTGAGCTCAGAAGCAAAAACCCAATGTTTTGGATCCTCGTTACAGGGCCTGGGGTTCCTATATAGGTACTGTAAGGCCCAAGTGTATACTATAAGGGTACATGGGAGCCTTAGGGCAAGATGCCAAATGAACGGTTTGGTACTTGAGGATGCTTTGGGAGTCGTGGGGTTTAGCGGTTAGCGGCTTAGGCCTTTCGGAGTAATTGCAGTGCCTAAGGGTTAGAGTTTCGGGGTTTGGGGTTTCGTGCTTTAGGAGTCTGGGGATTTGCCTTGCGGTTCAGGGGTCAGGGTTCAGAGTTCAGTTACTCAGGCCTAGGGTTGAGGGTTTACCTATAGTCTCCATTGTGGTTCCTTTTTGGGGTTACCTTATAGGATCCTAATTATATGTTTGGTTAAACCAGAAAAAGAACTACAATGGAGACTATACATAGAGTTGCCCTGACCACCCAGACGTTGAACATTACACCTGGAAGCTCCAAATTGATGCCTTAAAGCTGCCAATAGAAGAGGAGACAACAAGGGTACCCTACAATCCACATCAAAGGTTTCTGATTAGCACTCTAGCTCTGCGTGGAAGGTATAGAGAGTGCAACTAAGGACCCACATAGACTGGAGTCTCAGAAACTAGGCCCCCTCACACAAATCCACTCAGGGCGTTCCTTCCTTCCATCATCAAGCACAATCAGTTTTAGACATACACCCTCCACTCGCCCTTCCAACAGTGGTCTGCCTACTTCCTACTACATAGCCAGGGTTCCGGCACGGGCAGTTGACACCCACCCGGACAAACTCTCAGGAACCATCTCGCGAATTCAAAGGCCCTGGTCTGACCCCAGTCCCCACCTCGACCCAAGAGTAAACTGGGAATAAAAAGGGTGCCCTTTTTGGTTTAAAGGGGCTTATAAGGGAACCTGAACCCTACAAAAAGGGAATAAGGGCCTACTCCAGGTCCTAGCCACTTAGGCCTAGGGGACGTCAAAAGTAGGTTAGCAGAAGTAGAGTTAGAAGTACACTACATGGAGCTACTCCAATCATAGCCCTACCTATAACCGCCTGACTATAGTCTGCTGAGACTCCAAGCAGCCCTCAACTGCAAACAGCAAAAACCCAAGCTGCCAAACATAAAATAAAAGGAAAACTCCATTCTCACCGAGCTACAAAAGCAACACACCCAGTAGCGCCGCTGGAGTCTATCTGCCTTTGCAGGAATGCTTTCCGGTTCTGAGCTGGGACTTGTGTACGCCTCGTATGGTTGTGTCAAGCTTCTACCCAGAATCTCGGGAGGATCTAGAAAGTAGAAGTCCTATTTTGGGACCCTGTGCTACCAAAGGTTACTTTATAGGGACCCTCTTACTGATGAGTTTCCACCCTGGAGCATCCAAATACCCAAAGAGTCGGGTTAGTTCTAAGGCCCCCAAAACTATAGTTGGGAAGGGCCGCCACTCAGTAATAGTTGAATAATATTCATAATATAGATATATTAGGACCTTAATAGTAGCCCTATTATAGACTCTTACAGTATGGGGGCAGTACCTAACTATACTAGGGGTTCTTGGTATTTGGATAGTTGGACTGGTGACGGCTTCGGCAAGGTGAGTTGGACACCCACGGTGCCGCTTCACGAATCTAGCAACCTAGACGCTGAATCCCTTAACCTACAAAAACCTAGTTTTTTCTGTAGGTTCTTACTATAAACCCTAGTATCTACTCGAGACCCTGAACCGGCAAATGCCCAACCCGCCTGAAACCCAAGCTTTTTCAACGCTCGAGCCATGGACTACTTAGGGTGTTTAGGGCTTTGGGCTTAGGCTGTGGTTTGGAAGGGGGTCCCACAACCGAACCCAATCTTTCCCACAACCTTTCTCCTATACATCATGCTCTCAATAAGCAAAGAACACTGCAGCTGCAACCCTAACCGCGCAAGGGTTGTTTGAGAAGACCAGGGGAAAGCAGTAGCAAGACATGATTGTGATTCTACGTACACCAAACCACTGTGATTCTACTGTAGGTTATAAGGTCGGAATAGCTGATGACCAACGATATTCCTGAGGTTTCTTTGTGACAATTACTACTATACTGACAAAACTCAAAAACCCTCTTACGCCACAAATCGCAGCACGAACCATCCTAAATCCATGGTCGGTTTAGGGCCTGCCTGGGCTTTAGGGCGTAGCGGTGTGCTGTAAACAGTTCGAACCGCCGAGGGCCTCCGTGTAGAGGACAGATGTCCGATTGTACGCCAGCTGTGTAGCCGTGGTCTCGTACGTCTTCTCCCCTGACGATGCTTGGAAATCTCAATCCCTAAGGGTCCATGTACCCATATAGAGATACATGGGCCCCAATGTACCTATATAGGGACTACATAAAGCCCAATGTATATACTATATGAGTACATGGACCCTTAGGGTCATTTCGGACGGGCTGGCTGTTTAGGGCTTGAAATCTGCTGCCTAGGATTCCCTAAGGCCCTTTGTCGTAGGTGTATGCTAGCATCAATTACCCTAAGGCTCGATGGTACCTTTATTGTAGATACTCAAGCCTTAAAGGGGTCCCTATATAGGTATTTAAGGCCTATGTATCTACTATATGGGTACACGGAGCCTTAGGGTTAGATCTTGAAGGGATTCCTGCTATACGGGCGCCTGGAGGTCAATGCATGCACAAGGTACATGGACATTCAGGGTTGAAGAAATGTAGATCATCCAACCGGCCTAACCTACTAAACCTGATACCCCAAATCAGCCTAAATGCTATGTACCCCAAGTCCTATTGCTAAACCCTCTAGACTCTAACCGTGTCCAAATCCGAAACTGCAAACCCTTAAAGGAACCCTTAAAACCTAGAAGCGGCCTACATTAGAAGCCCAAAAGTTGGAAACCCAATAGCCTGAATCCTTAAGGGTAATGCATACGGAATCCCAGCATGAATTGTCCTTAACCCGGTTTCCAACGTTTTGGGGTTCACAAACCGGCCTAAATCCTAGACCCTAAACCCTCAATTAAAGGAGTCCTTAGAGGAACCCTAGACCCTTAATTCAAGGAACCCTAAAGCAAGAACCCTCAACCCTAAATTACAAAGGAACCCTTAAAGGAACCCTTGAAGGAACCCTAAGCCCTTAACTAAAGGAACCCTTAAAGGAAACTCCTAAATCCCCTAAATCCCCCAAACCCCCCTAAAACCGGCCTATGGCTTCGGAGAGGATGGCGGCGATGAGGTGGCAGAACTTGTTGCCCCAGTTGTGCGTCACCATAAAGTCCTCAGCTCTGAGTCCCCAGAGCCTCCAACACCCCTTAATTAAGGAATATACCTTCAAGTATACTAGGATTCATAGTATGACTTACGGTATATTCCTTAAATTATAGAAGGATCCCTAATATGATTTAAGGAATATACCTTAAAGTATACTAGGATCCATAGTATGCCTCACGGTATATTCCTGAATTAAGGGGTGGTGAAGGCTCCTCAGCTTTAAGCCTGGCGTGAAGGGCCTGCACCAGACCCCCCCTCTAGAGCATGGCCCTTAATAGTGGGTAGTTGGGGTATAGTAGTTGGTAGTTGGGGGGTGCTGGCAGGCTTTAGGGTTTAGGATGGTGTAGGGTTTAGCGTTTCGGGTGTAGGGTAAAAGTATATTACCCAGACCTTCCAAAGTCCCTTATCTGATATCCTCTTCTGGTACCACCAAAGCCCCTATACACCGAAACACTCTCAAGCCTAAGCCCTGACCCCAGCGCCACTTCCCCAAATCATGCCAGTAATTCCTAATATAGAAGCCCGACATTCTACCAGATAGGTACATGGGACCCTTTGGGAACCTACGACTCCATGGCAGCCACAATAGTGCTACACTTAGGCCGTCAAGTACCTATACCCCGAGGGTCCAAGTACCCAATAACCATATGCTCTCCAAAATCCTAACATACATAACTACTATCCGAAACCTAAGTACCTAATTATTGGGTCCTTTGGACCCTTAGAGTAAGCGCTTCCAAGACCCTAAAGTCAAAGGGGAAAGGAGGGACCCTTAATGGGGACCCCTACCCTATAATGGGCTATATAATGGGTATATAATAGCTATATTAGGGGTATATACCTAGGGGTCCTTATTAAGGGTCCCTCCTTTTACCCTTGGATAAAGTCCAGCCCCTGCACCAGAGCCCCAGACTTAAGTCCGCAAATCCCAAGCCAAACGTGGGTTTACTTAACTTAAAGGATCATGGGACTTAGTAACTAGGGCTATTAAAATTACGGCATTTGTACTTATATAGCTACTTATAACCCCAATTAAGCCAAACCTGGCTTTACGGTTTAGGGATTAACTTGAAACTCATGTTGGGCCCTTCCCCCCAGAGCCTCCAAAACCCCGTATTTAAGGAATATACCTCAAACCATAATTCCTACTATACTTTTCGGTATATTCCTGAATTAATTCGGTTTTGGAGGCTCTGGGAACCTTCACTTACCCAGAGGGTCCAAGTCCCCAAATATTAGGGTTCCAGGTCCCAAAATCCATACGCTGAATGGTTTTTTGGACCTTGAAACCCCATTATCGGGGCTCTTGGACCCTTTTAGGGAAAACAAAATCCCGGCTGTAGAAGCGCAAGTGGCTGGAGGCCGGTAGTCTCCATCTGCGATGATCGTGGCATAAGAGCACGAATCTAAGGGTCGAGCCTGCCCGGTCGAGGGTCGTTTAAGAGCTTCCTTAAGCCGGAATAACCTACGTTTTTAGGGTCCCTTATTATGAATTCCTTATATAAGTCCTTAAAATGGTAGGTTATTCCGGCTTAAGGTTATTATCGGGGCTTATGTTTACGTTTAGTTTAGGGTGTAGGGTAGTTGAAGGGCTCATACGGCTTATACCCCTGAGCCCTAGACCGAAGACCCCAAATCCCTGTACAGGGATTACCTTAAGCCGGAAGAACCTACCTTTTTAGGGTCCCTTAGTATGATTTCCTTATATAAATCCTTAAAAAGGTAGGTGATTCCGGCTTAAGGTAGGGCTTACCCTAAGGGTCCTGATACTTTGACGGCTGATGATCTAAATCCAGCATGACCTTAAGGGCCCTAAACTATGGGAATTATGGGTATTGCAGGATTATATCATCAACCGGAGGACCCCCAAGAGTAGGGCCTAGCAGATTCCGGACTCGCCCAAGGAGTTTTTATCGCTTCGGCTGGAGAGCTAAAGGGCTTAGGGCAACGCGTTTCGGTATGTTTCGGGCGTAGGCTTTAGGGTCCTAAGGTTGAAGCTCCAGGGATGGTTTTCGACGAATCTAGGGGTCGAGCCTGCTTTCCCGTGGGTTCCTTTAAGGGCCAAAGTCTTGGGGTGAGAGTTCAGGGTTGAGGATTGGGATTTTGAGGTTTTGGGTCTCTGGGGTGAAGAAAACCCTTACTCAATACGGTCCCTGACGCGAACTTCGAGAGAAGTGGAGCGCGGTTCCAGACTGACCTTACACTTTGCCGCAAGGGCATCGGAGCGGTTTAGGGACTTGTTCCGATCTATACACCTGATGACGCTGAAGCCGATGTAGCACCCCCCAGAGTTGATATCTAAGGGTCGAACTAGCTTTATGGCATCACGAAAAGCGCCTTGATTCAAAAGTAATGTGCACCTTATGAGTAGTCCATACTAGTCCAGTGGACTTCATGTTACCGTCGCTGTTGTTCGGACTGCTGGCATGTCTTTTCCTGTCAGCTGTGCTACTATGCTGCACCTCATGCCTGAAAGCCCTAACCTCGCACCCCAAACCCCTAAACCCTAAAATAGAGAGTCATTTTAAAAAACCCTCTATGCCTAAACCGTAAAAACCCTAAAATTCGCGCCTGCACTTTGGAGAGCGGGATGATGGCATGCCGGACAACGTCGTGCGTGGTGGCCAGATTTGCATCGAAATGGGGCATGCAATAGGGCACCTCTCTCTTGAGGGCTTAGGGCCTGGTGTTTAGGGCTTAGGGTCTATGATTGAGGTTTAGACTTTGGGGGCTTAGTAGGGCACCTCTCTCCATGTAGGGTTTAGTTTAATGTTTAGGGCTCAGACGTTTCATAGTTGAGGGTTTAAAATTTACGGCGTGGAATGTTCATGTAAAGGTCTCTCTCTTGCTTTCAGAGGATGGGCAGGCTCCAGTTTACTTCAGGGAAAGTAATTTTGTTTGGATTTAAGATTTGAGCTCAGGATTAGTTTAAATCCCCAATCTCCAACCCCTAAAGCCCTAAACCCATGATGCCAATCCCCGGATCGCCTACATAGATCCCTTGTAGATCATTGCAGGAACATCCGTTCAACGAAACTCAGAACCCTAAATTGCTAGATCCCTTTTGGATACCTTGCAGAAGCCTCAAAACAACAACCATTTCAAGGGACCCCAACATGCAGAAACTCGTTCCCATCTTCCATCATGTCGATGAGGAATGGGTAGGGTCTGCTGCCCCGGCTGTTCGCCCAGCAGTCGGGCTCGAAATACATGCTGGCAGCGTTGCCGGTGTCTTCGCCGTACCCCTTCTCGGCGAAGGCGATGAACACATCGCACTTCCACAAACGCCGGTCGAAAACCACCTCTTGAAGAAGCTGAGCCCCAATACTTTCCCTCACGTGCTTCTCCGCTTAGCCGGCTTAGCCAGCATAGCTGGCTCAGCCTTCTTCTTTCGAGGCATAGCCTTTACAGGATCTTTTTTGATAGCCGCAAAGTTCTTGCTTTTCAATTTGAGTCGTAAAGTCTTAGTGAAAACCTCACTGAGCTGCCTCAATGCGCGAACGTCCTGGCCGTCATACCCCAGCTCCTCCCTATAAAAAAGAATCGCGCAAGCACATAATTATGCCAATAGCCAACGAAACGCCAAAGCCTTAAACTCTAGATTCCTCAAACTCTACAGCACCGAAAATCCCCTGCGACGCTACGCCGCAAATCCCGAAACCCCTGGATCCTAAAAGTCGGTCTGGATCCTTCATAGAGTCCTTAAAGCACAAACGACAATACAAAGGAACCTTGAAACAAGTCATACCTGAAAGAGATTAATACCCTTCACAGGAAGCATTTTAGAACCCTCAAACCATGAAATCCTGAACCCCAAACCCCAATCCAAAACCATAGACCACAAATCCTTTGGATAAGAGCCCTCTTCAAGGAACTCTTGAAGCGACCCTGCTAAAAGGAACCCTAGACCAAACCCCAAACGCAAAACACAAAAGCCTAAACCCTAAGGCCCTAAACTGCTCAAGCCCTACAGAACCTGTTTTACGAAGGAGCCCTGAAAAGAACATTTAAAGCAACTTTAGACCCTAAACCCCTAAACTCTGCACTCCTAAACCCTAAACCCTTAAACCCTTAAACTCTGCATTCCTAAACTCTGAACCCCTAAACCCTTAAACTCTGCATTCCGAAACCCTAAGCCCCTAAGCCCTTAAACTCTGCATTCCGAAACCCTAAACCCCTAAACCCTTAAACCCCTTGTCAAAGGAGCCCAAACGATCGGAGCCTTCTCCCAGAAGAGCAGGAGCTCTGCCACGGAGACGCTGCGCGAGGCGAGCTCCTTCGAGGTTTTTGAAAAAATAATGGGACCCTTAAGGGTGTAGGATTTAGGGTTTAGGGCTCCTTTAAGGGATGGGTTTAGGTTTAGGGCTCCTTCGAGGTTTGTGATTGCTTAATGGGACCCTTAAGGGTGTTAGGATTTAGGGTTTAGGGCTCCTTTCAGGGGTCCATGGGACCATATAGGACCCTTAGGGGTGTAGGATTTAGGGTGTAGGTTTAGGGTTTTTGATTGTTTAATGGGACCCTTAAGGGTGTTAGATATTAGGGTTTAGGCTTAGGGCTCCTTTACTTCAAGGGATCCCTTAAAGGAGTTTGAATACTTGATGGGGCTCTTAAGGGTGTAGTGTAGGATCTACGATTTAGGGCTCCTTTGATTTAAGGGATCCCTTCAAGGAGCTCTTAACGGAAACCTGGAAGGAGTATTTAGGAGTTGGCAAAGGGGTCAATGATCTCCGGCGAGTCGTCGATGTGGATCACAGGTTGAATCCACTTCGCTTCCGCACCAGGTGGAGGAGCCGAGAGCCTCTGCAACACGTCAGCTTTACCTCCTTTCCTGGTGCTTAGAGGCCCAGGGGACTTAGTAAGCAGGTTATAAGTAGAGTTATAAGTACTTTAAATGGAGTTCCCCCAACTATAACCCAGCTTATAACCGGCTTGCTAAGTCCCCTGGGCCTCCAAGTGGGCGACCGGGTCAAAACCACGAATGCCACGCAGTTGCCCCCAAGCTCGGATCCCAGGCTTTGAACCGTATATGGCAGACGGTGCAGATGACGTGCTGCCTTGTCTCCTGTTGGCCCTGAGGCTCCATGTACCCTCATAGAATATACTTAGGCCTTAAAGTACCTATATAGGGACCCCTTTAAGGCTTAAGTATCTACTATGAAGATACATGGAGCCTTTGGGTTATGGCAGTATGAATATACAATCGCCTGGCCGCTGGTGAAATCCGCAAGCTTTGCAATCCTTTGAGCGTTCCCTGAAGGGATCTACAAGGATTTACCTTAACCCCAAATAACCGACCTTTTTAAGGACAAAGGTAAAGAAATTACCCTAAAAAAGGCAGGTTCCTTAGGGTCCAGGTAGGGTTTGCTTTTGGGTTTTGAGACTTTGCAGGCATGCATACTTCCGCAAGGGCCTGTAAGGGATCTTTACTGTGAGGGTTTACTGGGCTTTGAAGTAACCAGGGAGAAAAAGTATAGACTTTTTTTGATAATTGGTTCCCTTTAAGTAGCAGGTCCCAAAAAGTATTAAAGTATGGTACTCCAAAGCCTAGTTTAGAAGCTTTGGATCCTCAAAGTCCTGCGCTGAGGAGATCTAAAATCTAAAACCGTCGAAGGGGGTCTTTCGGGACGACGTCAACTTCCTGGAATTAAACCCTATAAGCCCACCTGGCAAGTCCTACAAGCCGTTGGTCTCAAACTCGCACCTCTTGGTTTAGTGTTTAGGGTTGAAGGCTTAGGGTTTGAGGTTTAGGGTTTAGGCAGTCCACAAATTAAAGGCCTCTTGTCAAAAACCCTTACACTCCCCTATAAGAAATCAGGGTAGAGCCATCTAACACCATGTAACAAGAAAGGAGCCCTGAACAATCCCGGGTCCTTCACCTTCAGGGACGCATGCGCAGCCTGCCGTGCAGGGGTTCGAAAGACACAGTACTCTCGCTTATAAGGGACTCGCAAAGAGCTTCCAGGGTTCAGCTTGCTGCCGTAAACACTAAAGCCTAAACCCCTTCAGGGGAATGAGGGTTTACCCCTAACTTGCAGGTGACCCCCTTCTGGTTCCTAGGGTTTAAAGTTTAGTCACCTTACCCTGAGGGTCCAGCTACCCAAGTTTCTATGTAGGGGCGCTTCTTTAAGGCCGAAGTATATCCTATTTGGGCACATGGACCATTTCTGTAACAGAAAATACTGCCCATATCCCATGAATAAGTTCCCATATAAGCATAAGCTTCCCGCCATAAACCCCCAAACGCTGACTGTGTGGCTTTGGCCCTGGGGAGGCCAAAAGGGTTATTTAAGATTCTTGGGGTAGGGATTCCTTAATATGAACCCTATTATGGAACCCTAATCCCTGCTAAACCCCAGAAGGGCTGAAACCCCTTTTGACCTCCTACGAACCATGGCGGATGGTGTCACTGCTTCTGCCGAGGGCGTGGGTGACGAGGCCTTCGCAGTGGCATCTGAGGGAGGCGAGGGCTTCGCGGCGCACGAGGCCACTGGTGTTGAAGAGACTTTGCTCTCTGGGGGCCCCCAAAAGCACAGAAGCATTGAGCATTTTATGGGGATATCAGATATCCCTATATACCTTAGTGCCCTTCCTTTAAGGGGGCTTATATGGGATATCACTATCCTAATGTTTTGCTTATATGTACTTTTTTGGGGCCCGAGTCTCCGAGTCTTGGCCAGGGACGGTTACGAGGACGAGACCTCCTCGGGGCGCGCCCGGCGCCGCCAGCTTCACTTTCGGCGGTAATATAGGGGCCTTCATAAGTAGAGTAGGGTTCCTTTAAAGGGTTCTCAAAAAGGGTCCTATAAGGGCTACTATGCTGGTTTTGATACAGGGGCCTTAATAATTAGAACTAAACTTTACAATAAGGAACCCCCCAAATAGTATAGGTAATTGCTAGGGCCCCTAACATAGAAGCCTACTATAGATCCCTTATAGACCCCTTTTTTGATCCCTTCAAGAGGAACCCAAGGGAAGTATTAGGGCCCCTATATTGTCACCTTCGGTTTCGCCGCCGATACTTTCGGCTCGAGGCCCTGCTTGCCGGGGGTGTTCGTCCTCTCGGCATTTAGGGATTCCCCAGCGAGCCCAATACACCTTAATTAAGGAATATGGCTTAAACTATATAGGGCTTCATATTATGAATTAATCTATATTCCTCAATTAAGGGGTATTGGGCTCTCTGGGTCGCGAATCGCTGGAATGGTGAATTCATGTAGGGGTCCCAATATGGTCCTAGCAGAATATACCCCAAAGGCCCTCTTCGAATTATTCATGCCAAAGAAACCCAACATACACCAAGAGCCCTCTTCGAATTCGAATAATTCATGTCAAACAGTAACACGCCTTACCCGCCTCAACCTTTAAACCCCTAAACTCCGAAGCCTACCGTAGGCCAAAACCGAAAGAGCAAGCTTACTCGGCAACAGGAACCCTACACCCTGAAGCTTAAAGCCAAAAAGCCTCATGGTGCCTCAGAAAGCCCTATCAGAACCACTAATGCAACGGAGCCGGGCATGCCTCATGAAGCCCTATAAGAATCCAGGAGGGCCTCAGAAAGCCATGATACAAGCCCACAACCCCAAACCCCGACCGTAACGTAGGAACCTGACTAAGAAACTCTGGCCAATAACACCAAAATATTAGGACTCGTATCCAGAATCCTAGTAACAGACTCAGGATTTCTTAATCAGGTTCCTATATGAGTGTTTAGGGTTTAGAGCTTAAGGTTTAGGTCTTTTTATGGAACCCTTTAGAGGAACCAATTTGTAGGGTTTCTGTAGTCTGCTTCGTGCCTGCTTCGGCAGCTTGAAGTGAAGCTTGGGGTGGCCATCGCGAACTAACTCCGGCCTGCACTTGCGGTGTTCCTATAACTCCAGGGTTTAGGGTTAACGGTTTAGGATTAGTCTCTGGGATTGCATGAAAGAAGCGTCATGAAGTATAACTCTCGGGTTTAGGGTTTACGGTTTAGGGTTAGATTAGAGGGTTGAGTAGGGTTTAAGAAAAGGTTCATGAACTTACATCGTTTGATGGTACGGGCCTTGGTAAATAGAATAGGGTGTCGGGTGTGCTAACGTTACGCTTATAGCATCAGCAATATATAGGGTATAAGGACCAAGTTGGGATGTGGAAAGGATTTGAATGCTTTTAGGGCCTAGGGTATAGGGAAGGGTACCATAATAGTTCCTTCTTATAAAGAGTACCCTTTTGTTGAAAGGGCGTTTAGGGTTTAGGGCTGTGGGCTTATGGCTCTGGGATCTTCCGGCCTGGAGGTTTGGAGCTTTAAACTTTCCGACCCTTGGTTAGTAGGGAATGGAGGAATGGGGTAGAATTATAGCTACTATTACTACCACTCTTCCATTCCCTACTAACCAAAGGTGAGTTCAGGGCGTGGGGCCTAAGGTTAGAACGTCTCGGGTTTAGTTTTGCTGGCCTATTCCTCCGTCTTTGAGTTTGCCAGGCTAGAAAGTTCGGAAAGTAGAGAAGCTTTTTTCTATACTGAAACCCTTAAATCATAAACCTTCAAACCGAACCCCAAGCCGGGCTCCTGCGGATCTTCACGTATCTCGTTGCGGTAGCCAAGAGAAGCGCCATGCCAATCCTGGTCCACACACTACCCCTACAGATCCATGTGCCCAAATAGCATATACTTGGGTGCTAAGGTACCAGTATCGGTACCAGTATCATAGGGACTACTTTCAGCCCAAACACTATACTATGAACTCTGTACATACATATACACACACACGATCTTCTTTCTACATATATATACATATATAAATATATAACATTCTTAATCATATAAACACTATGAGTACATGAGCCTTCCGCTATGGTCGGCGAGCAGACAAAAACACTAAGGCTCCCTGTACCCTTGTAGTATATACTTGGGCCTTAAAGTACCCATATAGGGACCCCTTTAAGGCTTAAGTGCTGTTGGTGACAAAAATCCTGCATTACCTGAAGAACCCTAAACTATGGGAATTACGGTATATTCCTTCTTTTGGGTAATGCAGGATGTATATCATCAACCGTATCTGCTATAAAGGTACATGGAGCCTTTGGGAAAAGACTATATTTAGGAGTTTCCGAAAATAGGGGACCCTAATATGGTACCCCTAAATAGTAGGATCCTTCTTACAAGGACCCCAAAATAAGGCATCCATAATTTTCGGAAACTCCCATTTGGGGTATAAAGGTACATGGAGCCTTTGGGGAAGGACGAGGACCCCGAAGACTGGAGTCGCTACAGGTGGTCACGGGGTACATGTGCATGTCATGGGAGCTTTCCAAAAAAGTAGGGGGTACCTTTAAAGGGATCCAGTAAGGGGGTTCCTATAAGGGTTCTATATGGGTTCTAGAAAGGGTTTAGGCTTTAGAGTTTCCGGAAACTAGGGGCACATTGTTTGGAGGTCCTGATAATAAGAATCCTATTGTGTAGGGTACTATATCAGGCTCCCCTGTTTTTGGAAACTCCCATGTATGTATGGATGGATGGATGTCTGCATGTATGTATGTATGTGTATACATATATACATATGTCTCTGTGTCTGTGTGTGCAAATAAAACACAAGTACTCGCTATAAAGCTGATATGTATATACACATGTATGTGATGTATACATAAATTAAAGCATGACACATACACGAACGGTACATGCTGGATACATACTAAAGGCTGCTTATTCTGTATTGCATTTCAGCGCAGAAAATCCAAATCGCCGCAACTGAACATGTCCAGATTCCAAGATTCCCCGGTTCTTTCTGCACCAATTTAGGGTTTAGGGCTCAGGGTTCAAATCAAGCCCGTACAGTCTGCGACATGCCCCCATAACTAAACTCCATTGCCCTATGAGAGATTAAAGGAAAACTTGAAGCCCGAAAACTCCATCCAGGAGTGCTCCTTTGCCAACTCAAGGTTATGAAACCCGAGTTGAAACAAAAACACCTTGGTAACATAGATCGCGGTAAAGCTCAACCAGAATACAGAACACACCAAGCACTGCAATCTACCTCCACTTTGAACCAAAATGCGGCTGAACTATGGCGATTCGCACCACGATGACCGCGAAGGTGAGCAGCCACTTCCTCATGAAGAGCCGTCGTCTAAGCTTTGAAGGACGCAGGGACTCCAAGTCAATAACTGCTTCAGAGCCCTAAACCCCAAACCTTCAGCAGCTTAGGGTTCGGGGGTTTGGGGCTTTACATGCTGTTTCAGTTTCTGGTCATTGTCTCAAGTCTTTGAGGGTCCCTTGTTAAAGACCTACTATAGACCAGGGCATCAGCAGTTGCAGCTGAAATAGCACAACCGCGGCTCTGACAACCTAACTGTAAACCGTTCTATACTGAACTTAGAACCCTACCAAAAATTACAATTTTAAATGTTTCTTAGGGATCATAATAACCAAATCATTTCTAAGTACCCCTGAGCGTTTAGGTTCAGGGTTTAGAGGCTTCGGGTCTCTAAGACGGGGTGCACCCTTAGCAGAAGCACCGCCGTGTGCACCCTGCGCTGCATGAACGACCCCTGCCACTGCTCTACCCTCGTCTTGGAGCGCTTCCTTTCTCCAACTGCGCCTTGCTCTACCATGCAGGCTTCGGTGTGGGTCTGTGCCGCAACCCAGACTCCAAAACCCCTCAGTAATGAATACACCTTAAATTGTAGTAGGATCCATATTATGATTCAAGGGGTATCCCTCAATTAAGGGGTTTTGGAGTCTCTTCCTCCCAGAGACTCCACTATCCCTTAATTAAGCAGTATTCGTTAAATCCTACTCTAATTTAGGAAATATTCCTTAATTATGGGATAAGACACGCTATGAGCAACAATAAGACACAGAGAAACACGCCGGGTTTAAGGTTTTGGGGCTTAGTTTACCCTGAACTACCCAAACCTACCTTTTTTGTAGGGTCCCCACAATCTTCTAGATTCGGGTTTACAGCAAGAACCTACAAAACAGTAGGTTATGGTAGTTTAAGGTAGGGTTTTAGACGATCTTGAGAGTTCTCACTGGCTGTAGAGCAGAACCGTTCCTGTAAAGGATCCTTGGAAGGAGCCCTGATACTGTTGATGGACAAAATCCTGCATGACCCTAAGGACTCTACAATATGGGAACTATGGTATCTTCCTTATTCTGGGTCATGCAGGATTTTGTCCATCAACAGTAGGAACCCTTACATTAAGGGTTCCTTTAAGGGCTCCTTTACGGATTTTTAAGGTCTGATGGTTGGCCGTGTGCTTCCCTAGTTAGTTCCTTCATTAGACACACCCTGCAGTAGACTTGGACACTAAACCCTGAACGACACACTTAACCTTTAACCCTGCCTCCCATTTCTTTTTGAAGCCCAAACAAACATGAAGAAACTAGCCAGAAACCGTGAACTTTAGAGCCGTGGCACCACTGGTCCAGCTCGCTGAGGTTTGCTATGAAGAGCGCAATAAAGAGACAGCCTCAGACCGGCCAAGCCACCATAAGGAAACCATATGATGTTTTTTCGATCCCCTTCTTGGTTACTTTACTTCTCACTGGCCCAAAACCCGACGAAATAAAAGTTGAAACTTTCAGAATCGACTGCCTTATGAGAATGAGAACCCCAAAAGTTGAAAAGTTTAGTTTACAGCCAATAAGAATTAAACTCCTTGGCAAGAACTTAGGTACTGCCCCCATACAGTAAGAGTCTATAATAGGGCTACGATTAAGGTTCGAGTTTATCTATATTATGCAGATTATTCAACTCTTACTGAGTGGGGGCCGTACCCAAGTTAATTCCATAGTTTGTTGGGGTCCTCTTTGGGGTCATAAGCATGGGGTTTCACATGTTAGGGTCCATGGTCTTCTTTGGGCGCAGCTTTATTCTGCTTAGGTTTACCTGTCTTATAGGATTCGAACTATAGAGTTGGGTACACCAAACATGGGAGTCTCTCAGGAATCGTTTTGGAAGATCTTTGGGTTTACTTAGAGGCCGAAGGGACTTAAGGGTTCCTTTAAAGGGTTCCTTCAAGGGTTTCTGTAAGGACTCTATGAGGCCCAGGAGACTTACTAAGTAGGTTGTAAGTAGAGTTATAAGTACCCTAAATGGAGTTACCCCAACAATAACCCTACTTATGACCGACTTACTAAGTTTGCTGGGCCTCTAAGGGCTTGGGGTTCAGGGGTTTGGAGGTTTTGGGCTCCGATGTTCCAAGTTTATAAGGGCATTGTGAAGCTCCGACTGCTGATCTCTTGCTATAGATAATTACTAGGTGGGGCTTTTAAAGCCTTTGAAAAATATTAGTAAATAAGATCCTCTTAAGCCCAACAAGGGAAAATATAAAATGCCCCAAAGCCCTACCTAGATTATGACAAAGATTGCCTGTCAGCGTTCAGACTCTTCAAACTGCGACTGCGAAGCGTATGTTTCTAGGGGCTGTTGTATACTTAATACTTAGGAGGCCCAGGGGGCTTAGCAAGTCGGTCATAAGTAGGGTTATAATTGGGACAATTCCATTTAGGGTACTTGTAACTCTACTTATAACCTACTTACTAAGTCCCCTGGGCCTCTAAGTATCGCTCGCTCATGCGCATGTGCTGGCCTAGGCCGAAGCCCCGAGACCTAAGACCCTAGTCCCTAAATCCCTAAACTGGGGCTAGGGTTGAGGGCTCAGGGTACCGTTTATGCACCTTCTGGGGCCTTCCTGAACCCCAAATAACCTATATTCACCTATCCTATTTAAGGGTAGTCACAAGAAATTTCGATCCTAACATGGGTAATTAGGCTTTATAGGCTTCAGGGCCCTAAACACCCAATCCCTAAACCGGAATGGTACTAGTCAGCCTTCTTCCAAGGCTCAGAAGAGGGTGTAGAAGGAGCTGCCGACCCAGAAGACAAAGTCCTGCCCAGCGCAGATCGATACGCGGAGAGGGCTTGTAGGCTTTAGGATTAGGATTTAGGGTTTAGGGTTTATCCTAGGCTAAGGGTCTAGGGTTTAGGGTTTAGGGGTTTAGGGCTTAGGATTTAGGGTTTAGCTTCTAGGTCTTAGCTAGGCTGGCTTAGGCTACAATGCGTCCGAACATGCATGCACACGAGATAAAGATGGCTCTTGCCAAGCATCGCAGCAAGCAGGATGATCACAGTGATGGTGATTTCGACGCTGATGCTGATGCTTATCCCTAAGGGTCCATGTACTCATATAGTATATACATTGGGCTTTATGTAGTCCCTATATAGGTACTTTGGGGCTCATGTATCTCTATATGGGTACATGGACCCTTAGGGTATGATAATGACAGCGGTGGTACTAACGGTAATGGTGCAAGCAATAGATAGTACCAATGCAGCGGCGACATAAAGGATAAGGGTCACGACGTTCGCCCGAATCCTGCCAGGTTTCCATAACCTGAGTGTGCCTTCTGAATACACCGGCCGTTGCAGAAAACTGGGTGCCGTACCAATTGTTTCGAAGACTTAAACAGGGACCGTAGTTTGAGGAAGTACTCGCATAGCTAACAGTGGCTTCTCCGAAAACAAGTTCAGAGCCCTGAGCTCTAAATCGTCTGTCTGCACCCAGGGCGTCCCCAAAGGGTCCTATGTACGTATATGGTAGAATGTAAGGCTTCCTTAGAGGCTCCATATCTACTTCCATTATGGAACTAGGTCCCAAAAGACCATTCTTATCATGGCTTTAGGGACCTATAATTCCATAGTGGTAGTCTATGTGGAGCCTCTGGGTCCATATCAAGAACTACTCTTCTGATCCCGGGAAGAACCCCCAATAACAGTACATAGGACCCTTTGGCGTCCCTAAGCCCTAAACCCAGGCGTCCTGCACTTGCCAGAACATGATCTGCTTGTCCCGTGTATAATGGCCGCGTGCACTTTCGTCCACGAAGCTTCGCTGCCACCTGCTGCGACTGTCCCTCGTGTTTTGTTTAAGGGCTCTTGCACTGGGGTTGGCTTAGTTTTTTCAGGCTTTAGGTTTCAACTTTGAGGTATAGGGAGAATTAAGAATCTGCTACAAGCTGAATTTAATCAAAGGCTCATCATGCGGCTAAAGAACCTGCGGGCTCTGCAGTCTAAGGATCATGAGCCTTACCGATCTCTGGTTGAAAGTTGAAAGCGCTTCCAAAATGCAGATTCCTGCGGCACGTGTCCAGGGGGGTCCTACCTAAAACCAGAAAAAGCAAGTAATGTAATAGCTTGAAAGCCCATTCTACCCACAACCCTAAACCCTAAACCCGGAACCCTGAACCCTTATAAGCCCTAAGCCCTGCAACTCAAGACTCGAACCGTAAATCCGTCAACCACAGCCCTGGTCCCAGACTCCAAACCAAGGGCCATAAACCCTCAAACCCCAAACCCCCAAAATCCTGATGTAGGATCCTGATTAAGAAACCTTGGGCCTTTATTAGGCATACCTATATATTTTTAAAATTAGTAAAAAGAGTTCGTCGCCTTCTTCATTTTTTCTCTCGCCTCCCTTCTTCATTTTCTTTCTGGCCTTCTTCTTCATTTTTTCTCTCGCCCTGCTCCGCATTACACGTTTATTTAATAATTTATGTAACATTTTTTGTAAAATTTTATTTAATATTTTTTACAATAATTTATTTAATAATTTACATAAAATATTTTACAAAAGCGTTCGGGCCAAAATCACATGAGGTATGTGGAAAAATCACATGAGGTATGTGGAAAAATCACATGAGGTATGTGGAAAAATCACATGAGGTATGTGGAAAAATCACATGAGGTATGTGGAAAAATCACATGAGGTATGTCGGAAAAATCACATGAGGTATGTGGAAAAATCACATGAGGTATGTGGAAAAATCACATGAGGTATGTGGAAAAATCACATGAGGTATGTGGAAAAATCACATGAGGTATGTGGAAAAATCACATGAGGTATGTGGAAAAATCACATGAGGTATGTGGAAAAATCACATGAGGTATGTGGAAAAATCACATGAGGTATGTGGAAAAATCACATGAGGTATGTGGAGAAATCACATGCCCAAACGCGTCAGGTCCCCCTCTTATTTTTTTCTCTCGCCCTGCTCCGCCATGCAAGTTTATGTAATAATGTGTGTAACAATTTTTGTAAATTTTTAATTCATATTTTTTGTAATAATTTATTTAATAAATCAAATAAGTTATTCTACAAAAGCGTTCGGGCCGTGCCCCGCATTACACGTTTATTTAATAATTTATGTAATAGATTACATAAAATATTTTACAAAAGCGTTCGGGCCGTGCCCCGCATCACAAGTCTATTTGATAATTTATGTAATAATTTACAAAAAATATTTTATAAACAATATGTTGAAACTGATACAAAAGCGTTCGGGCCGTGCTCCGCATCACAAATTTATTTAATAATTTATTTAATAATTTATTTAATAATTTATTTAATAAATTTTACAAAAGCGTTCGGGCCGTGCCCCGCATCACAAGTTTATTTAATAATTTATTTAATAATTTATTTAATAAATTTTACCAAAGCGTTCGGGCCGTGCTCCGCATCACAAATTTATTTAATAATTTATGTAATTATTTTTTTAACAAATTACATAAATATCTTTTATAAACAATATGTTGAAACTGATACAAAAACGTTCGGGGGGGGGCTATATTATACGTTTATGTAATAATTTTTTGTAATAATTTATGTAATAATTATTGTAATAATTTTTGTTTCAATTTTTGTAATAATTTATGTAATAATTCATGTGTTAATGTATTTAAATAAGGTTAAAATGATGGCTGGTGTCATAATATGTATAGTCGTATCTATCTAACTGTTATGATATGCTAGGTTAGCCATTCTAGACCATAACTTAGATATATAGTACAAAAAATATTTTTCAAAAAATATTTTTTAAATTTTTTTTTTAATTTAACTTGGTTTTTGACCAGCATACTGTCATACCTGTAATATAGTTAACTGTTTTATTATATATTTTAAATAAGTATAATATATATAATAATAATATAATAATAATATATATGTATTTAGTTAGTTGTTATGATATGCTAGGTTATATGCTAGGTAATATACCAAGTTATATATAAATGTTGTTATATAGATAAGGTAAATAAGTTGTATTATGACGGGCTATATTTACGTATGTATATAATGTCTGTATATAATACAATCATAATATATTAATATATTATGGTGGTATTAGTAGTTCTATTGTTCTCTAAATTTAATTGCATCAATTATTATTAACGAGCCGAGCTGGGTGTGTTTTTTCTTTATTCCATCAATCTTAACAATTTCAAGTCCGAACTTAGTTTGAGTTATGGGCTCATTTGTTGAATAGGTTAAAAACTCTTTATATAATTCTGAACTGAATTTCTTAATCGTAGGCTCGGTGCTCTCACTTGAAATTTTCTTGATAAAACTAATTAAACTGTCTCTGCAATTAGCTTTGTAGGTTATATTCGGTATATCTTGCCTTGTTTGTTGTGTATTTATTGCGTTTAATTTATCAATATCTAATTTTAAACAAACATAGTACTTTTTTGTTGTAAATGAAACTTGGTTGTTTTTCTCCAGTAATTTATGAAATGTGGTTTTATTAATCAATGTCTTTGACCAATCTTGATAAATATTTAATAATTCTTTCTCTGTAATCCTGTCATCTAAACTATTTGTTTTCAAAAATCCCTCACTGATAAACTGTTTAACTAAAACTGAATGAATTTTATACTCCATACTTACCTACTTATCTATACTTCTCATTCTTTAAATACTTATCATAATATAATAAATATTATGGTGGTATTTTGGTCTGTTCAATTGTCATCAAAACCATCTCTATCATTTACAAACTCTATTTTATATTTATCTGATAGGCATTGTTTTAGCTCGTCCTTGTCTAAGTTATAGTAAGCTCCATCCATTTTTTTATGCTTGGAAAAGCCTTTAAACTTTTTCAATTCAATCCCAAACTTCTCAGGGTTGTAGTGCATATTTGTATATTTGTTGTCTGTTAAATATGTTGTAAATCTATTAAACAATACACTCGCCTTAATCTGATACGGGTTTACTGGAACTGTGTTTAATGTTGTATCAATAAAATCCTCCAAGAACTTAACGACTACTGGAATATTCAACTCTCTCATGTCCTCATACATATCGCTAGTGGGTCTGTTGTTAATATAATCGTAAGCTTTAATATCTAACTGTCTGAAATATTCAAAAAATGCTCTGTCATATTCTCCGCTTTTAATTTCCTTATGTAGTTGGATAAAATAATTAGCATCCTTAGCATATTTATCGCTAGCTTCTATACAAAAAAAGCGTCTATCATCTGGTGATATTTTTACTGGATTGTTATTATTTGTTAAAAAAGCAAATGCACTACAATCTCTGACTGTATAAGGTGTCTTTTTCTTCTCGTTTATTGGAACTGTCTGCCGTGTAATGGCATTTTTAATATATTCATTAATTGTAAATGTATCCTTACCGCTAGTTTCATTAATTACAACTAATATCTTTTGCTCAATATCTTTATTAAATTGTCCAAAAATCAAATCCGTATTTTCTGTATTAAAATAGTAATCTTTGTAATTTAACAAACTACCTAAAAAATCAACTAACGTATCTTTTCCCGCTCCTTGTCCTGATTTTAATATTAATGCTGTTCCCGCTTTTTGTAGTGGTGATTGGAACAGTTTAGCAAACCATTTCATAAGATAATTAAAACTATCTTCATTGCTACCACATATAACATCTTTAATATGAAACCACATTCTAGACTTAGTGATATCGGTTTTTATTAAATCTTTCTTTTCTGCTTCAAAGCCCGTAAATGTATTAAATGTATGGTCAGGTGCTTCTTCACAAGGTAAGAAATCCATTTTTTCAAAAGTTAATATATTTTCGTCATCCATCCATTTATCAATAAAAGCCTTTTTTACCATCTCGCCAGTTTTTTCGTCAATTTCTTCATATTTCTTGTTTCGGTTTACTTTTTTAAACTCTGCTTCATCTCTTCTAATTACAACATCGTCTAATTTTCTGATTTCAACATATGTCAAAGGTTCTCTGATTTTAAAGTTATCTTTTTCAAACTCTTCTTTTACTTCCTCGTAACTTCTTAATTTATTTACTTGTGCTTTTTCTATCTGTTCATCAGTATAACCTTCGTTCATTTCTTTCACTACAAATTGTAAATTTAGGTTAAACTGTTGTTTAATCAATGTATTTAACTCTTGTAATACCTCTTTTTTAAAGCTTTGTTTCAATAGCATAATACCATCAAAACACAAAACACAATGATTTTGCTTTATATAGTTGTTGTCATTACAATATTTAAATACTTCTTCCAAAATTCTGTTTTCAATCTCTTGTAAATAATAACTTGTAATCGTGGCGTTAATGTTAGGTTTTTCACCAACAGCTTTTTTAATTTTAGGATTACTGTTTCCGATTAAACATTGTATAGCTTTCATTTCGTCGTGTAAATGTTGTATAAAATCGTTTCTTTTGCTTATATCAATATTATGTTTGTCAGCCCAGCTTTCAAAACCTCCTCCATATAATAGACTTATGAAAAGGGTTTTTGCATCATCTTTATTAACATTGTATATATTCATAACTTCATTTAAATAATAATCTCTATCTTTTACATACTTTTTCAAATAACATAAGTTAGGATAATTATTTTGTTTTAATATCTGTAACAATATTTCTGGATGTGCATTTTTAATATCAATATCATAATAAAACTGGTTTGAAATTGTATGTCTCACTTCACGCCTTAAGCTTTGTAATCCTACACTCCCTAAGCAAAACACACGACCAAATACATTAGCTTTTTTGTATTTAATGATGCCCTTTGCTTTCGTGTATTTAATAAGCTGTTCTTTTTCGTTTTCGTGTCCATTGAATGGG